GCTTCTCTAGCAGGGCCTGGCCTGTCACCAGACTCACTCGGTGACAGCACGGCCCACGTCTCTGCCCCCCCGCCCGCGCCCCACGGCCAAGCTGCTCCAGGCTCGCCACCCGCGCAGCCGCATGGGGGCACTGATCGGGGGGGCACTCGTTCTAGCCCCACTTGCCTTGTTGTGCAGCAGCCCCGCCACGTGGCCCTCACTGGGGTACTGTGGAAAAGCACACGAGACGGTAACAATGCCACAGCCCAGGCACCCAGTGAAACCTCCCCTGGGCCGTTGCCCCTCGTGCTGCGGGCTGAGTCCTTCCCTCACGCCCACCACCGTCGGCTCTGCCCTGCCCCTCGGGCTCTGCCACCGTGGGGGCCACAAGCCCCTCCCTCGGGGAATCTCGGGCCCAGCCCCACGTGTCTGAGATAGGAGCGGTTCCAAGTCACCGCTGTGGCCCTGCTGCCCTTGTGCACCCTGCTTACCCCGACTCCTGGCCTCTCCACATTGCTGCACACGTACCCTGCTCCCAGGCACTCCCCGGGTGTCAGCTCCCTGCCTGGCCGGGCGGTGCCCAGTGTGCCCAGGCTGGTCCAGGGCTCTGACAGGCGGCTTAATTAATGATTACATCTTAATTAACAGGGGTTTTTCCACTGGGTGCCCATGCTCCCCGGCCTGGCTCAGTTCCCGTGTGGGCTGGGTGAGGGGCACCGTGTTAAGCAGGTGGTGAGGAGGGTCCCTGGGGGGACAGAGTTGAAGGCGTTAGCACACAGCCTGCCCTTTGACCCTCTAGGGTGCTGGATGGGGAGTGAGGGGACCAGGGGCCAGCACCTGGCAGGATCAGGACCCTGCCTGGCTCTGGAATCGGAGCAGGAAGCGTCTGCTGGAGTCCGTGTGGCAGGAGGGGAGACGCTGCAGAGTCCATACGTTTGTCTAGGAATGAGGGCGGGAGGGCCCCAGCCTCTGGTGGGCGAGCCCAGGGTGCAGGTGCTGACGCCGGGATACAGGAGCAGGAAGCCCAGGGCCGAACTGCGGGCCAACAATCCCGACAATGCGGCGGAGAAAGGGTCGGCCCCCCCAGGCTAGCAGAGGCTCCTCGCACCCAGGGACAGAGCTCAGCGTCAGGAGCTCGCAGCAGGGAAAGGCTGCGGCATTCCAGCGGGCGGGACTGTGAGCGGGATCACCACGGCGCAGTTCCTCGTTCCAAATGCCAGGGGCGTCTCCTCTAGCCGCAGCCACAGGGTGCCCATCCCTGTAGCCTCTGGGCGCTGAGCCTTGTGCACAAAGGCAGGGCGAGCTGGGAAGGGCACTTCTAGAAACCCAGAGAGCTCCTCTGCAACCCGCCCTGGCAGAGAACTGGGGAGTCTCGAAAACAGCCGTGGGAGAGAGCGGTGACCAGCCCTGTGAGGGACCTAGGCCGTGAGAAGGTGCCTCGCGTGGGGGACTTCACAAAATCCACCCACAGACCTTGCCCCAGGTGCGGGGAGGTGCTGAGCTCCGGAAAACCTGGGCACAGCTGTGGGTGCTGGCCCCTTGGGAATGGGGCAAGGTCCCAATGCGCTAGGGGGGTGCTATTCTGGCCCTCAGCCCTCCTGAAGTACTAATGAAGGGCTGGCCTGGGTCCGCTTCCCTATGGGCATGGGCTTGCCAGCGGATGGGGAGCATATGGGGTTACTGCCCTGAGCCCTTTAAATTGCTGCCAGGGTAGGTCCCGGCTACGCTCAGGGCTGGGGGGCAGCCCTGCCCCTTCCACCCAAGGACC